TAAAAGTTATAATTTAGATTAATTTAAAAATGTATTTTAAGTATATTATTATTATTATGTTTAACTTTGTTGAGTACAGTGTGTAAATTAACATAAAATCCTTAATGAATTTCAAGATGGATATAAAAAAATTACATTTACTTAATATTAATATCTAAAGCATTTCACATATTTGTATTAAAAAAAATATTTTCACATATGATCCGGATAACCTCGTGATAAAAGAGTTTAATAAAATTTATAGAATCTTAAGTTCGAATCTTAGTTTCATCATGTAATTTTAATAAATAAAAAAATATTTAGCATATGTTGGACATATTATATACATCATTAACATGTCTAATTAATGAGCTAATTACAAGTGAGACTTAAAACTAAATTGGAGATAAATTGTTTTATTTTCAATAAAGAGTCATATGCTATATTTTTTTTTATATTAAAATACTGAGATATTTATTTTAATAAAAGTAAACATAATATTATGTTAATGGAGGTATCATTTGAATTTTAATAAGTTTATTTTTGGAAGGACCTACTAAAAAAAACCCTACAACTCCACGAGTGTTTGTATTGTATGGTTGAACACAAAGAAATTAGCAATTTTGAAGAAGTGGTAATGGCATGAATTAGAGTGTTGGAATGGAGAAAATATGAAATGATAGGTCTCTGCCTCCCCTTTGGAAAAAAAGAGTAGGATTGCCACTATACAGAAAAGATAGAATAGAACCAAGCAAAAAGGAAAGGAAGAATGAAAAAGCAACGAAAAGAAAACCCCATCTTTTGGCGATAAGGCTTGGAAAAGAATCGTCCGACTCCACAATTGAGTAACATATAATCAAATGCACAAATCTTTTTTTTTTTTTATAAAAAAAAAAAACGATACACGTCTCCATAAACTCCAATGACCCAAAAGGTTCCAAATCTATGAATCTATCATGGGAAGGAGTTGGAATAAGATGGGCATCTCGTACCCATTCGATAAATAATAAATAATAAATAATAAATAATAAATAAAAAATAAAAAATAAAAAATCATCATGACTTGAGAATTGAGATGATGAAGATGAAGTAAAAGGAACGGCGGTGATGGATGTGTGGGTCCGAATGAAAGAGTGATCGGACGGCTAAAAAGAGCAAGAAAGATGGGAGCGACAAATGGGAGGGTCCCTGGATCATCGTACAAACTCGTTTTGTGAATAAGG